AGGCAGGAAGAGAGGGAGAGAGGGGTGAGGGAGGAGGTGTGGGACAGGCTGATAGCTATGTTATTACTGGTTGGACTGAAGTGCAATGGCTGCCATGTTTCAGTTCTAAGAGAAGGTCTCTGTTCCTGTCTTTCTTCTGCATCACATACCAGTTTTATTTCACCGTCTTTTCAGCCGTGGCATGAGTGCAGCTTTAGAGGCAACATATTTCTGATATGACCACCAGCTCTTCTCATGAAGCAGACCGATCATGTGGTTATGGAAATCAGTTATGAAGGGAAAGGAGGATGAAAGTAGAGGACACAGTTCAGAGCAGAACGACTTAAACGCTTTGAAAACGAACAACATCATGCATGTTCTGCTTTTTTTTTTTTCTTTTTTTCTTTTTTTTTTTTTCCCAGACACAAGTTGTGGATGCTATCAGATTTCCAAAGCATGTTTTCTTCCTCCATTTATTTTCTTGTATTTATTTCAACAGACACACAGCAGCTAAAGGGCAGCTGCTGTGTCTCTGTGTGTTTATTAGTAGAGTTCTGCCTTTATGCTACATGTTCCTCATCTGTCCTGATCAAGAAATTGATCGCCCTTGAGTGATGTTTTGGACGAACGCCATCAGCCCAGCCAGCCCTCACCTCAGCGTTATTAGCTTGACAGATGACGGCTAAATATAGAGCATCCGCACATGTGTTCATGTTCAGCAGACATACAGTACACGCACACTCTCCTCACAGATTCAAAAGAAAAAGTTAGATCTTTTGTAATTCCCTAGACTTAAGGTCATGTGTTTAACCTGCATGTATGTTCTACATGAAGCCTCACAATCATGTGCTTTCACTTTCATTCACAATCTTTGACCTGATTTGCCACCAGTGGGAGAACTGTTGGCATTTCATGAGAGGCCTGTGGTCGTCACACTTAATGAAGCCATGACTGATGCTGCTCATGGTCAAAGCCATGCAAACATGCTACATAAGTACAAAATAATCCATCAAAAAGTCAGTTTTCACAAGACAGATTTCTGTATTAGTGTTTTTAAACCACATTTTCAGAGGCTTTAATTTCCGGCTGCATTTTCCTTATCGATTAATCTGCTGCTTTTTCTCTTGATTTGTTGTTTTGTCTGAAAAAGGTACAAAAATAGTGGAAGGTGCTCACTAAAAAGCCAAGATTATGTATATCTATGTATATTTTATTTGACTAAACCCACAGTAGTTGATTGATATCTGTTGATCTTGTCCAAACACTTGTGTGACGAGTTGGATGTTTTCACAGTTTTTCTGCATCTTCACCTCAATCAGACATTTCAGTCTACCGGCTTCTCCTCTCATGAGTTTATGGATCTTGGTCTAAATGTTTTTGTCAAACCAGGAAAGTATCAAACTCATGAATTGTCAGACTCATCAGTCTGAAAAGGACAAAATTGGCCAAACTTATCTGAATGTAACCGACAGCCTGACTCTTATAATGAGACAAAAATCTGTGCTCTTGAAAATTTCTGCGTTTCTTCGACCGGCACGGAAAGAAAACTGTTGACTTTCATCATCTCTAACATTTCACCAGCTTCCTAACTGATGACAGTGTAACCAGCCGGTATCAGGCTCTCACATCCCTTCCCCAGCTTCAGTCAGATCTACTTTCATCCCGGTGTTGTTATCGCCTGTCCACACTGATCTGCGGCTGAAGTGAGAAAGCCAGTGTGGGTTTGCGGTCCACACGGAGCAGGACAAAAGAGAATGATGGGAGGAAAGAGGAGGCAGCTGTGGTCGGGGGAGCAAGAGGAAAGAGAAGAGGTAGAGGGATGAGCGATGACATGATGAGAGGTAGAGGAGGAGGAGGAGGAGGAGGAGGCAGAAGGATGACAAGCCTGGTAGCGATAGTTAAGTTAGCTCAGTCAAGAGTGTGTGCGTGTGTTGCTGCGTGCTGGCTGAGGTGGGGAGGAATGACAAGTATGTGGGACATTTTCCAGAGCTCTGCTTTAGTGGATTCAACCACTCTGAGCTGGAGAGAGAGAGAGGAAGAGCAGAGAGGGCGAGTGAAACCGAGACAGAGAAAAAAAAAAAAACACATAGAGAGTGACACAAGAAAGAAGAAGAGGTGGGAGAACCTATAACATGTTTAGATACATCCCAGTGTATGTTTAGGTGATGAATGGCTATACTTTCCCTGTTTTTTTCCTTTTCTGTTCCCCTCTATCTCTGACACACACACACACACACACACACACACACACACACACACACACACACACACACACCAGGCGCAGGGTGGAGTGGGTCATGGCTACAGTCATTGTTGTTCTGGCCGACAGACTTCCTGTTCCAAGCAACTATGACGCCCATCACCACAACACAGCTGTGTCCAAACTGGACAGGAACATACACACACACACACACACACATTGCTCATTCATATATAATCTTGCACACAGATTCATACCTGTGGAGCACTTAATCATTTCTTTTCACACACATAATTACGCACATTGATTTACACTTCTGCACACTACACGCACACAAACACACAAACACACACAGCCTTGGCGTGGATAACCTGCAGTTTGATGCCATATTTAAACCAGATGAGCAGAAACCTGTAAAGCCTTTGATTATGACCCACTGCAGAGACTCAGAAACACGTTCCAGCTCAACCACTTCCATCGACAAGAGTAACTCCAGCATTAAGTCAGCGGGTCTGTAAACATCCCCAGCACATCATAAAAGCTTTAAAGCTTTTAAATACAGACAAATGTGTTCTGAATAGTGACGGAGGAAAAGCACTCATTCACACTCATTCACACTCATTCACACTCATTCACACTCATTCACACTCATTCACACTCATTCTGCACTTAAATATAATGTCAAACACTTCTGTTTCTGACTGGTGATACTTGGGCTTCATTTTTGGCTTGAACTTGCTGAAACATGTGGACTCTCCAGTCCACTGGTCCCCTCTGAGATCTCCCACTAGTCTGTCAGCTGGTTCTGTGTTGGACGTTGTAGGTGGGATTTGATGGAACATGCAACAAGATATTTTCACATGAACATCTTTTACGTTTTGTGGTGAAAATGAATTTTTCAGATGTTTTTATTTCTGCTGGATTTGTGCAGTGGGTTGTGATCATTTCAGTGTTGGACACCCAAGAGTGTTGAAGCTTTTTTGTGATTCTCTTCCAGGCCATAGTGGTATTACACTGAAACCCAAACCCTCATTTTCACATTTTCCCTCTCCTTCACTTTGCCTGCACCCCACCTCCCCCACCTCCCCCACCCCCCAGTAATGTCACACCAGCTATTTTTCCCCAGGCTTTGGATTTACCAAAATCGTGTGTGTGTCTGGTTATTTGTGTGTGTGTGTGTGTGTGTGTGTGTGTGTGTGTATACATGTGTGTTACTCTGTCTCTTTGTGTGGCCGTTGGGGTTTGGCTGCCGCAGCATCACAAACCACCAGCCCCAATTCTCCCTCTGTGGGCCTATTCTGAATGTCAAGACTTCTCAAAGGTTTTCATGTCAGCGACCTACCGCATTGTTGCCAGAGACCCCCATTTGATGGGAATTTTACCCAGAAATGACCAAATGAAAAGAATTTCCCTGGTGGTGGTTTACAGTCTTCCCTTTGGTCAGGGAGTTGGTGAAATCCCGTCGTGAAATTGTGAAAGTTGTTTTGTGGATTTGGCAAATTGTTGAATACATCAGGATGGTTTACAGGAATTTAGCATAACTTTATTTTCTGACATTTATTGCATTAGCTGTTGGTTTGGGGTTGTTTTTCTTCTCAGCAAGAACAAGTCTAGTGAAAACCAGACTGTTTACCCCGTTAGAAAAACAACATGAACAAACCAGACTAGAAAAACATTTTATAGGTCAGATATTATGAAATAAAGTAAAGTTGAAGAAGTGATACCGTTTTGTAACAGGGCCTTAATATTGATTGTGCTGTAACTCATCATTTTTATAGATTTCTCTATTGATCACTTAATCCACAAAATGACCGATATACAAAGTGTCATAAGTGATGTTATGAAAGAGCTATCACTTCTTCAAAAAAACAAATATTTTCAATTCATAATTAAATAAAATGGAGAAAAGCAGCAAATTGTTACATTCATGAAGCTAGAACCAGCGGATACGTGGTATTCTTACTTGATAAATGACTTATTGATTCTTAATAATGATAATAGATGAATTTTTGTGTGTATGAATATTAATAGTCCTTTGAGTCGATTTGGACCTCCACAATCTCCCCAACGACCCAGGTAGGGCCCCGGACCGAGCTTTGAGAAGCACTGCTGTGTGTTTTTGGATACAGTAGCGACACAGATTTACTGTGAGAGAGGAGCTGTGTTGGCTGCTGTTTGGTCTTTTTCGTCCAGGGAAGTCAAGTCTGGTTGTGTTTACTGTCGGATGGCTGCTTCTATTGTCATCACAAGATGGCTCCAGCCCTCCGCTGTGACGTGTGTGTGTGAGTAATGTGGCCAGACAAGTGAAGTTGTGCGTGTGCTAGTGTAGGTCTGTGTGTCTGCTTGTGTGTGATTAAGTGAAGGTTGTGTGCACCCATGCAGTGTGTTAGTGTACTCTACAATGTGTGTGTGCTGTCGACTCAGCCTTTTGCAGCTAGCCCCTTACTCGTCAAGCCCTCTAATCCCCATAATCCCCTTTCTCCCCCTCCTCTTTTTTCCTCCTCCCTCCACCCTCATTTCTCCAGCCCCCTTCCTGTCTCCCACTCCTCTCTTATCTCTGCACATCCCTCTGTCTGTCTTTCACCTCCTAATATCCACTCGCTTCTATATGTAGGAACGTAATGTGGGACAATTCACTCCCATTTGTCGTCACGCAGATTGAATGTGTGGTGTATTTCTGACTGCTGACTGGTGTATTCCTGTACTTTCTCCTCATGCATACTTCTTCTTCTCTTGCCTTTTATTCGTTCTTTAATGATACAATGAGTGAGTCAGCCAATCAATTAATGACGTCCCCTGTCTGTCTGTTTCCCTCTGCCAGGCTGTGGAGAGAGAACAGGTGGACAGCATTCAACCCAAGCTGCAGCACGTCAACGCAGTGGGTCAGGGTCTGATCCAGAGCGCCGCAAAACACACCGACACCCAGGCGCTGGAGCACGACCTGGAGACAACCAACCTCCGATGGAACTCACTCAACAAGCGGGTACGGCTCGACACCCGTGCAACACCTGGAGACGTACAACACTGATATATAAAACAGAGAACAGCACCGCGGCTCCTGTTTCTCGCAGTTTCAAGCTTTGGGTTTTACTCTCCTGTTTCTCAGGTGGCAGAGCGGATCGCCCAACTGCAGGAGGCCTTGTTGCATTGTGGGAAATTCCAGGATGCTCTGGAGCCTCTGCTAAGCTGGCTGAGCGACACAGAGGAGCTGGTGGCCAATCAGAAACCTCCTTCTGCCGAGTACCGTGTGGTCAAGGCCCAGATCCAAGAACAAAAGGTACGACAAAGGACGACAAGGTGTAAAATAAAATCCACTTTCACGTGTAATAACGCAATGAAAGGGTATCAACAGAGAACAGGGAGATGCACTTAAAGCAGCTTAAATGTCTCTCTTCAGGGCAGTGAGGGCACATTTTGATGTGTGTTTTTCAGTCTGCTCATATTTTCCATTTTGGGGATTTGAAGCGCTGATCATTAAGCTCTTAGCTTCTGCCTCCCACTTCCTTCTGTCTTTGAAGTGTCCTGTCGGAATAAATTAAGTGGATTTGAATTTTCACTTTCCATTTTTCTAGATTATTTTATTTTCCAAACATTGTTGTGAGAAACATTCTTCTATCCGTCAGACAGGTTGATTTAATTCAGATGTCCTCAGTGTCCTTTAACCACTAACAATAGATATTTGAATGACAAGTACACACACAAACACACATACACACACTCAATGATCCGTCTGCCTGGCATCCGAACGGTCCCAGTTGACCGTCTGCCAGTCAGACTGGCATAAAAACAGACACACACACACACACACACACGCACGTATGGTGGATTTGTATTGTTTTCAGACACACTCACAGTTTTCCCTGTTTATCCAACATACACTTCCTGTGTTTGTGCACATAAGAGTGCTCTAGTCTTGGCCAGCAATCAATCACACGTGTTTACATCCGTGACGGAGAGCGTTGTCGGCGTTTGGCTGAAAAAGAGAGTAAACTGTGGAGAAGAGCTGAACTCAAAGCAGAGAGAGAGGGAAGGAAGTCAGTTTAATGCGTGTTGTTTTTTTGTAAGGTGAATAAAAGTTTGTTGTGTATCTACCTTTTAAAAGGTTGCACCTACTCTAATTAAATGTTTAATAATTCATATGTAAAACTGAATTTTTAAAAGATATGCACTTACCTGAGTCCTTTGATGACACGTTGATAAAAGGTTTAACGAGCTAATTATTGATGAGTTTTGTTTGAGCTCCTGTAAAAAGGGAGAGAAGGTTGGCAATGGAAAACGTGTCAACTTCTGTTTTAGCAAAATAATAAATTCTCCCAAACAATGAAGGTATTCTACGCCTCAGACACTAATGCAGTAAAGAAAAAGAATTATTCTGCCTTGTTAGAGCAGAGATGACTTATTTTTCCAAAGCACATTTTCTGATTTGTGTAAACATCGCCTCTATTTGCAAACATAGAGGGATTAGATCTTAAATTTGTGTAGATCTGTTGACAGAAAAAAAGATTTCTATCAAATTTAATTAGGCAATGTACACTCAGTCAACACTTTATTAGGTGCACCTAGCTAAACTAATTCAGTCTAACTCAACAACTCTGCAATAAATCCTAACTTTATGAAGGTTATCATTGTTGAGAGCGTTGTTGATTTAATTTAATAGTCATTAGTGAGGCTGCGGTTTGTGTTGTTGTTACATCTAACTGTGTTATGTTAGACTAAATATTATATATTTCTCTTCCTCCAGCTGCTCCAGAGATTGTTAGACGACCGCCGGCCGACGGTGGAGATGATCCGCGCCGAAGGAGAGCGGATCGCAGCCACGGCGGACACTCAGGACCGAGAGAAGATCCAGACTCAGCTCCACAGTCTGGCAGAGAGATGGACTGACCTGCTGGACAAGGCCAGCGGCAGGTCAGTCTCCTTTACAATGCAGGGGGTTTTCAGGGTGGGGAGGACCTGGGTCTCTAAGTTGATCTCTGACCTCCCTGAGGAGTGAGAAAAGAATAAGGAATTTCCCTGTACTTATTCCCTGTAATTACTGAGGTATCGTATGGCACTCGTGGCCTCCCTGAGAATCTCTTCAGATCATTTCGACTCTTTAAAAACATCAGATCTGTCCATTGTGTCCTTTCAGCACAGATAATATCACAGAAACAAAACGTGACAGATTTGTCTAGCTGTGAATATGTGGTTTGGGAAAGTAATCAGTGGTTTACCTCAACAGCATGTTGTCTTGTGGTTATTTCCTGTTTTCTCATTTCATCTCTGGGTGGCTCTGTACAACTCCACTATATTTAAAGAAAGAATTGTATCATTACTATTGGTTTCTGTGGTCGACAAGTCATTTCAGAGGAGATTCTGTTCACCAGGGAAAGTAGAGTTTCTTTTACAACACACATGCAGAACACAGCAACAGAGCAGATATGTGTGTTCATGAAAAGAGGAAACAGCATTTAAAATGTTTACAACACTTTCATGGCTGTGATATAAAAACACTCTTGAATTCATTACATCGTCTTCTATAAACAATAACACACACACACCTCTGCTATCTGTATATACACTGTGAGACGCTTGTCACTGACCCACAAAGCGCACTTTCTCTCTGTCTCCAACACACAAATAATACACTTTATCACTTTATGAAATTCTTTAATATTTAATAATATATCATGAAAATCTCATAAATATTTAATAAATTGTGTTTACAATAAAAGTGACAGCTGTATGACACAAAATCAGGCCCAATTTGAAGAGCGAAAGCAATAAAATGCCAATAAAAGCTCTCTGCCTCCTCCACTTCATCTCTTGGTATCTTTGCCCCCGCCCCCACCCCCGCTCTCGTCCCTCAGGCAGAGGCAATTGGAGGAGCTGCAGGTTCTGGCTCTTCAGTTCCATGAAGCCCTGGAGCCACTGGGAGAATGGCTGAGCACCACCGAGAGACGCCTGAGCTCCGCCGAGCCCATGGGAACCCAGACGGCCAAGATCACGCAGCAGATCACCAAGCACAAGGTACTATCCCACCATGATCTAACTCAGTGCTGGAAGAACAACAATACGGCACAAGAATCACAGAGCGTTTATTTACAACCCAAACACGTCTTCTTACAAGTCCATGTCTTGATTTATTCATGTCAAGTTGAGTTTCTTGTTTTCATTTCAGTTGTGTCAAGTTTTTAAGTTGTTTTTCTCATTCATCATTGATGTTTATGATTTCCTGTTCTATGATTTGTCATTTGCATGCTCATATTATGAGTTTTTATCCATCTGTTTTTCTGTTGTTTTGCTTTTCTTATCTCACATCCCTTCATCTTCCCATTACACACACACACACTCACACACGCACTCACTCTCTCTCTCACACACACACACACACACTCTCACAACCAAACAAAAACACACATGCACTTCCCAGGCGCTCCAAGATGACGTGTCCTCACGAGAAGCCGAGGTTGACCACCTCGAGGCCCTCAGCCAATCGCTGACGCCGCTCAGTTGCGCGGCAGACCGCGATTGGTTAAGCGAGCGCGTGGGGGCGGTGAGGTCAGGTCACTCGGAGCTCGCTGATTGGTGCTCCAGGCGGGCAGGCCTGTTGGAGCAGGCGCTGGCCAACGCTCAGCTGTTTGGAGAGGAGGAGGTAGAGGTGCTGAACTGGCTTGCAGAGGTGGCTCAGAGACTGGCTCAGGTCTCTGTGCAGAGCTACCAGCCTCAGCTGCTGGCCGAGCAGCACAAACTCACTCTGGTACGACCTCATCAACACAATGAATGACAACTAAGATCCTTCACCTCATTAGACATGAGAACAGTTCTTAGGAACTTTGTTTTTTGAAATAGCCGTACGAATAATAATCATATGCTATATAAATAACATTCATGGCATTTTTTGCATCATAGACATAAAATTAGAATATGAATATGAATTTGACAAACCTCAGATGAATCCAGGTATGATGCATTTACACTACACCATGATTGTAAACAGTATTTTGAGAAGTGTTTCCTTCCACATGATACTGATTTAAACACAAGGTGTTTCTATCAGAAACACGTTCTGAATGCACAATAGACCTTCTGCACAAATGTAATTTGATAATGTAATATTTTTTATTATGGGCATGAAGAAAAGATTTGAAACACACTGGGTGCAGTTTTATCACTAGAACGTATTTGAAGTGTTACCAACAATGTGCACATTGTAGTTAAGATTGAATTGTTGTAGCACAAAGGGAAACTGTTTTTTATGTTAACGCTGTTTCTTCCCTCAGTCTCTAAATGAAGAGATCCTGAGCCGGAAGAAGACAGTGGACCAGGCCATCAAGAATGGACAAGCTTTACTCAAACAGACCACAGGTAATATCAGATAAACCACTTCATCTTCCCCCAAACCTGACTCTGTCTGTTTCCTCTTAGCAAGAAGATATTTAAGATGTCTTGTGTTGTCTTTGATCATTTTACAGTTTGTCTTGAATGCATCTTTTATGCATTTTGATTATTAGCAACTTGTGTAACTTCAGCTTTAGCTGCATTACATTCATTCTCCCATGGGGGGAAAAAGCTCTCTTTATTCAATAAGTTGTGTTGTTTTGGGTCTGTTGTCTGTGAAGACACACAGACGAGGCTTAGTAACAGAAACACACAGTCAAACAGTGTTTTAGTTTTTATAGATTCACATCCAAACCACACGTTTAGATCAGTGGTGAGTCAAGCTGTAACATGTGGTTTGTGTTTGTCTTCACATATCAAGATATTAGCCATGCTGACTGGCAGCACTATCAGCAAGTTGTTTGTGCATCTACATGAATACACTTTGTGTTTTTACCGTCATATTTATATCAAACATCATGGTGATGAGAGGAATGCTGTGCTGTCAACCCAAACATACTGTGAGATTTTACAGAACATGTCTTTAATATGCGATATTATGATTATATATTATATAAGAATTAGGAAGAAATCAGATCGCACTTTTGTCACACTGAAAACACAAGGTAAATTATAAACAGTGAAGACTTTAAGAACTAGAAAAATGTGTCTTCCTTTACAATCACCACAAGGTTTATTGTTGAAACCTTCCCTGTGTGTCTGCATCTCCTCACACTGACCTGTGTGTGCTCCTGCAGGTGAGGAGGTTCTCCTGATCCAGGAGAAGCTGGACGGCATCAAGTCTCGCTACGCTGAGATGACGGCCGGCAGCAGCAAGGCTCTCCGCACCCTGGAGCAGGCCCTGCAACTCTCCACGCGGTTCGCCAGCGCGCACGACGACGTCAACCAGTGGCTAGACGGCGTGGAGGCGGAGCTCAATAATGTGGAACCTGACGCCTCACCAGCCTATCAGGAGAGACAGAAGGTAGGAGAATAGATAAAGATTATGTTTGTGTACAAGAGTGATTCTTGTAATGCGGAAAAGATTTGTGTTTGAGGAACTGAGAAAATTAGACATGAAGATTAATACTCATTGATATTCATTGATATCTGTTTATTTCCAAAATTACACCTATATATATTTATTTATTTTAAATGAAAACATTTCAGTTAAAACTAACATGTCCTTGAAATACCTTTATTTGAACACTCAGGCCTTTAAAGACAGTTTAGAGCTAGAGTTATAGTACTTGCATGTGATGGTGTGCTGTATGTCTCACTCTATTTCACATTACACTCATCGCTTCCAGCTTTATTATTAACTCAGACTGTGAGTCACCTGGTTCAAAGTGAGCGTTTGGAGCCACAGTGTAAGACTCGACATCCGCCCTTTACATCTGCTCTCTTTAACACACCACATTTCTCACACAAGTGTCAGAGACGCAGCTCTTCTTCTACCTTTTTTAGTTTCTGTTCAGCCATTTGGATCATGTGACTCCTGCTTCACTAAATGATTGATTGGGGCACTTGAGTGATGGGATGCAACAAAGTTAATTGGCTAACAACTTGATAAAACTTATCGATACTCCATATTTTACAGATTTAAAGGATTTTCCTGGAATAGAAAAAAATGATACATATTATTTGATGACAACTCCTGTCTGTAATGACATTTTCAGCCGTTCCAATATTAACCTCCCACAGTAGAGTTACCATAGAAACCTTGATTTCTGGGAACTTGATAAGTTTCTAAAAGCTATTGAAAGGATTACGATTTAACACGTTTCCACTGTGCCACACTTGAAAAGTAAAGCAGCTTTAGCCACCACAAAAAAAAAACCCCTGTGATACACTTGTTGCCGTTTAGTTAAGTTAATTGCATTTTTGCATTTGTACATGAAGTTTATTTGAAAAGTCTTTTGAGCTAATTTTCCATCTGATTACAGGATTTACTTTATAAAACGAATCCCTCACTTTCACTTTGACAGGAGCTGAAGAAAGTTTCAGCAGAGAAGCGTCTGGTGTTGGACACGGTCAACGAGGTGGGCAGCGCCCTGCTGGACCTGGTGCCGTGGCGAGCCCGTGAAGGTCTGGACCGACTTGTCGCTGACGCCAACCAGCGCTATCGGCAGGCTGATGAAACCATCACTCAGCGTGTGCAGCTGGTGCAAGCCGCCATCCAGAGGTCACAACAGGTGCTGCACGCAGTTTAACACGAGTGAACATAAATGCTGAGCTGGTCAACTGTTTGGGATTCTGTTATATTGTGAGTGCTGCTAAAACACAACACCTCCTCCCCTCAGTATGAAGAGGCAGTGGATGCAGAGCTGGCCTGGGTCGGGGAGACGGAGCGCAAGTTGGCGTCTCTGGGGCCCCTGAGTCTGGAGCCTGACGTGACGGTGGCTCAGCTCCAGGTGCAGAGGGCCTTCAACATCGACATCATCCGACACAAAGACACTGTGGATCAGCTCCTCAGCACCAGAGATGACATCCTGGAAACTTGCAGTGAAGCCCAGAGGGATGCACTGATGGTACGTCACTGATGAATGATGGAGGGATGCAGAATTATGAGGAAGAGCATGAACATGAGATATTAAAGTTTGTGCACATTGATAACCTTAGTAAGGGATAGACTAGGTGAGGATAAAGTAAAGTTAGGATCATCATATCTGTATGTCTTTGTTAACTTCTCCAGGTGAAGACAGATTCTCTGAGTGCTCGTTACGACGCAGTGAGCCAGAGCCACAGTGAGCGGTTCTCAGCTCTGGAGCAGGCCCAGGTTCTGGTGGCTCGCTTCTGGGAAACCTACGAGGAACTGGAGCCGTGGCTTGGCGAGACCGAAACCCTCATCACCCAGCTGCCACCACCAGCCATCGACACAGATGCTCTCCGACTGCAACAAGACCAGATGAGGGTAAGAGAGGACACGAAATCCTGATGCTGTTTTAGTTTTCCTCTCATTATATTTAATAATTTAAAAATCTACTTAATTTCCATGTTCATGTTCTTTCATTTCCTCTGCAGCTGCTCAGAGAGTCTATCGCAGAGCACAAACCTCACATCGACAAGCTACTGAAGATCGGACCCCAGCTGGCCGAGCTCAGCCTCCAGGAGGGGGCGACAGTGACGCAGCGCTACAGTGACGCAGAGAGGCGCTACCTGGCCATCAAAGAGGAGGTGAAAGGTCGAGCTACAGCACTAGACGAAGCCGTGTCCCAGTCTGCACAGGTACGTCACAGGCGACGAATTCACTATTTCAATCACTGTTATAACTGCAGACGTGGGTCTAATAAGTCTTATTATTTAGTGTGCTTGAAGCCTTTGATACGACTGGTTTAAAACTGAATTCAATAAACTTTAATGACATTTTGTGTTGCCTCTCGGTGAGGATGAAAAATAGTCTATAAATGCTGTTAGTTGGTCTGTTAATAGCTTGTTATTTAGTGTCTGCTGCCACAGACAAAACAATGACGCCTGGTGTGATTACTAAACAGCATGAGATTTAATGTGATTTTGTTTTTGTCTCTGTTGCTTGCTTTCAATAAATGATAATGAGGATTTATTGTGTAACACGTTAACAAGTTCAGTTAAAGTTAAGTTTCATCGTTATTTAGTTCTTGTATTTTTGTATTTTGCTTTTTAAAAACTTTATATCTTATTAGAAACAGAAACATCAGCCAGTGTTTTACTCTGGTTTTATTGCTTTGGAAAAACATACCTTTAACTTATAAACTTTATTATGCAGACTCCATCTCGTCTTCTTTAAGTGTTAGTTTTCTTTGCACTTCATTTCATGAGACATCACTGAGTCATGGGTGTTTCTGGTGTCGATAATGCCTGACATTTTGTACTGTATGCATGTCTCTGATTTAACTCATTATATTGTTTCTCCACCCTCCGCCCCCCTACAAACTGATCCATGTATTGATCCTTCTCTTCCTCAACCTGCACTTCTGTGTTGTCCTTATCCCTCACTCCATCCTAAACCATCTCCCTCCCTGTCTCTCCTCCCTCATCCTTGACCTTAACCTTAATCTCCCTCATCATCTTCACCACCCCTCATCCTTGCAACCCGTTCTCCCTCCTCCATCCCATCCCTCGTTCATTGTGGATGTGCTGTGTGTGTTGCAACCCCCTCCCACCACCATTTTCTCCATGGTCACTGCTCACTGCAATCACCCAGCTGGTAGAGGTAAGACTGACTGACAACATCAAACTGGCGCTCAGGCTGCGGTTACATCACATGATTTGGTCAACTAACAAACCGTGAATCAGTAAAGCCATAATCTCGTACCAGCACTGATCTCACCAGACAAAAATGTCTTAAATTCCCTACCCTAAATATCACTCGATCCTTCATTCATGGGGAAAATATCATGGAAATACAGTTTTGTATTAATAAGTAGAATGAATTCTCTTACAGGTATTAAAAGATTTGTTCAAAAATCTTCTCAAAACCACTTAACTTAAATCAAACTATGGCTTTATTGATTTAAACATTGATCTGAATCATGTGTGGGCTGATCCTGAGTGACCATAAGACTGAACTACATCTGTTAGCTTTCTCTGTGGTGTAGGACTGTAGACTTGAATGAAGCCTAGTCTCAAACTGAGGCCTGCCTTCCACTTTTCATGGTTTTATCTCAGACTAGGCTCGATTCAGGTCCTACAAACCAGTTTGTATCAAAAGAATCTTCTTCTTGTGGTTAGAAGAAAGTTGTTGTGTTATGTAGTGATCAAACTATTTAATTTCACTCAGATGCTTAAAACAAGCTCAAGTACAAATTGCACAATTCTCTCTTGTCCAAAATGTCTCCTGGGTCCTTTAGTGGACTCTGCTTTGTTAATAGCTCCCTCTTGTGTGGTAGATCAAGTCCAGCTTTGTCAGAGTTACACAACCTGGATGACACGATGAAAGTGAAATACTGAGATATTACATAGAGAAACTGCAAGGTTTTAATTTGAATTTTCTCTTATTCCTTCTGTATTCACTCTGTGTGAAGTTAATACAGTCTGCCCCAGATGGCTGACCACCCACATAATATATCAGTATTTTCCTACTTTCAAAATGTCACCCAGCTATCAAAAACCCAAACCCAGCAACCTCAGCACACTCTCCTCCCCCTCATAACTTTTTTTTTTTTCCGCCTCTCCTTCCGTCCTCAGTTTCATGACAAGATGGATCCCCTGTTGGAGACCCTGGAGGGGGCGGTGCAGCGGCTGCGACAGCCTCCCCCAGTGGCAGCAGAGGTGGAGAAGATCAGGGAGCAGCTGGCGGAGCACCGAGCTCAGGGGCTGGAGCTGGACAAACTGCTGCCAAGCTTCTCGGCCCTCTGCGCCCGCGGAGAGGAGCTGATAGGACGAGCTGCTCGCGACGATCCTGCCGCTCAGGGTGAGTGAGCTGGGACGCGTCTGACAGTGAATGACAGCCGCATGATATTTAGACTGACAGACAGGCCGCGTCATGTGACACAAGTCGGGTTTTAAACAGGGTGAGGGGTTCTACTCGGACACAGAGTATTTTGAGTTTTGTTTTTGAAAATCAATTTTAGTTTCATTCATTGATGAGCTTCTGCACAGTTAAAGTAACAAACACTTTTATCCAAAGTGCAACACATTGCTTGGGGTTAATAAAGTTCTTTTGGCCATAAAAAGGCCAGTTGTTGTAGTTGGCAGTCCCTGTGTGGCGATGATAACAGTAATAATAATAATAATAATACAAGAAATGAAGCACAAAGCTCCCTACAACAAAGAAATGACCTGCACCAAGTGCTTCACATGAAAAGTAAAATAAGTTTAAAAAAAAATGACATAGAAAGAATAAAATTGGTAAGACATCAATATTTATAACAGTATTTGTAAAGAAGTGCTGAGCAAAGTACAAAATTTCAGAGCTAGTTAAGGGCTGAGATGAAGAGTTTTAAGCTTTCTATCAAAAATACTTGTGAGCTGCTTCTCTGAGTCCTTTTCATTTAGGTGGAAAATACTGGCCGGAACTGGCATCAACAAATTGCATAATAAAAAAGGGCATCAGGGCATTAGAGACCGGAGTCAGAGCAGAGAGGAAAACATGACAGGCTTCTGTGATCTGGGTGAAAAATATTAAAACCTTATTTTGGGCTCCAGTCCAACCAGCTCACTGACTGAACAATCAACTGAAAAGTAAGTCTCTGTTCTCTGGCACCAGGCCAGTGGGCAGACAGAGTCAGGTCTGGAACAGCATATGCATATTTCCTCCAACGCCGCCACATCACGAAAACAAAACACATCCGTCTTTGTTAAATTTCTCTGCAAAAGAAGTTGGTGCTTTGATGCCCTCCAGCCCTCCACACGTCATGAGAATGAATGGCCCAGTGTGCAGCAGGAGTGGGAGTGGACTGATGACAGACTTCTCTAACCGGGACTGGACGGCAAATTCTAACAAAGAAAACATTATTACATTATTACAAATTTGAACTCCCAGATTAGACTTATTACTATTTCCCAGTGTGCCCAGCGTGCTCCCACTAATTCTACCAGCTTGTTTAATGCTTGACTCCTTCCCCCTCTCTCCTCCAGCCGTCCGCTCCCGCCTCCTGCGCCTGCGCTCTCTGTGGGATGAGATCCGGCAGCGAGCCGAGGAGAGGGAGGGGAAGCTGAACGACGTCCTGGACCTGGCCGGGAAGTTCTGGGCTGACGTGGCGGCGCTACTGAGCACGCTCCGAGACTCCCAGGACATTGTGAGAGATCTGGAGGATCCTGGTGTGGACCCCTCGCTCATCAAGCAACAGATTGAGGCTGCTGAGGTATGGAGAGGGAGAGAGGGGATGTGTAAATAAACAGTGGCATTCTGGGAGGAATGGAGTGTCTGTAGTGTGTTTTTTTTACTCTCTACGACTCATTATGAGGTCTGCCTGTCCTTCCACTAGGCCATCAAGGCGGAGACAGACGGCCTGAGGGAGGAGCTGGAGTTTGTCAGGACCCTCGGGGCTGACCTCATCTTCGCCTGTGGAGAAACTGAGAAACCTGAAGTCAAGAAGACCATCGACGAGGTGAGAGATTAAGATTACATTAGATAACTGAAGTAGATGGAAATGTAGATGTGTTGATCCACTAATATAATAATTCTTCCTCCTGTCCTTGTCTCAGATGAACGCTGCCTGGGAAGGCCTGAATCGGACATGGAGAGAGAGGATGGAGAGACTGGAGGAGGCCATGACGGCCTCTGTGCAGTATCAGGACGCACTGCAGGTTTGTTGATCACAAATACAAAGAAGCCAAACATGAATCTTGACCTTTCGTTTTGTTAAACATAATGATGTCATCTTTACACCCGCTTAACTGTGTCGTTCATTTCCAGTCAATGTTTGACTACCTGGACAACGCAGTGATCAAGCTGTGTGACATGTCGACGGTGGGAACTGACCTGGGAACTGTCAAACAGCAGATTGAAGAGCTCAAGGTTGGCATGAGAGTTTCGTCTTTCATTTTTCACCTGTCAGTCCTGAACAAACGAGTCACATTTTACACTCAACCTGTTTTAAAATCAGTTTTTATATATACAAAATCTCTTAGTGCCTTTAGAATTAGCTAAAAATCTCCTTTTTTTTTTTTTTTTAAAACAAACTATATTTTGGATATCTAGGATACTTTTGTCAAGAACTAATAAAAGACTTCTCTCCTCTCTTTACCTCCCACCTCCTCCTGCTCCTCCTCCTCTCATCCCTCCATTCACCCCGAGCAGCAATACAAGGTGGAGGTTTACCAGCAGCAGATCGACATGGAGAAGCTGTGCCACCAGGGGGAGCTGCTGTTGAAGAAAGTGTCAGACCAAACAGACAGGGACATGATCCAGGAGCCGCTGACCGAGCTCCGCCACCTCTGGGACAACCTGGGGGATAAAATCACCCAGAGACAGGTACAGAAACCACATCTGGTAGCAGTTTTGACCAAGCAGTCCCTGAGTAACACACCGAAACCTCAACTGTTCCAAGGTCATGGTCCTGTGACTGACCTCGAGCTCTTACCCCGCCGTTTCCCTTGAGAAGTTGTCGATGTTGGTCTTTGTTGGCATTCTGTAGGATCGCATGTATTTGACAGCTGCTTTTCATTACAGTCCAAATATTTAAGTTCCTATTTTTAAGCCCGAACTTCTGTCTCTCTTCCACCACAGCACAAGCTGGAGGCTGCGCTGCTGGCCTTGGGTCAGTTCCAGCATGCCCTGTCTGAGCTGCAGGCCTGGCTGAGCCACACACACACCACCCTGGACACACAGCGGCCAGTCAGCTCTGACCCCAAGGCCATCGAGATCGAGCTGGCTAAACACCACGTATGTGCAAAAAACGGAGACTTCTTTTTCCTTCCTTCCTTATTCTTCTTGATCAGGTTGATATAGTAAAAGGGGCTGTTTCCTTAAAAGATTCTGACTCTGTAACTCAATTTGTTGTCACATTTTTGGCCGGTGATCCTTTGTTTGTGCTACAGCCCTAACGTGGTTTGTTTTCTTCTCCTTGGACAGCCACAATACAATACAGTTGCCTCCTATGTTATTTTAACCTCCACAATCTTCTGCTCAGCTCAGCTCTGCTCTTGCTTCTCACCATTCAGATTCAGTTCAGTGTAATTAACCTCCGACTCCCTCCTCTGTGTCCCAGGTTTTACGTAACGACGTGCTGTCCCATCACGCCACGGTGGAGACGGTGAACAGTGCTGGTGCTGAGCTGCTGGAGTCGTCCCCCGGCGATGAAGCCAGCCACCTGAGGGATCAGCTGGATCAGCTCAACCAGAGCTGGGAGAACCTGCTGCTCAAGACACAGGAGAGGCAGAAACTGCTGGAGGCCGCGCTGCACCAGGTACTGTGAAGAAAAAGAGATTTCCCTTAGATCTTTACACTGTTGATGAACAACAACCCAGTCCTCATTATAACAAAGAGAAGAAACAGATACAATCTAAAAACAGCACAGTTAACATTCAGTTCTGTGTTTCAAGGTTTAATTTTTCCTGGATGTAAAACTGACATTAAAAGTTCATTCTTGACCTTGGACACAGTAACTGACAAAACAATCTCACCAGGTCCAGCCCCACTTTCAGTTGGACTTGCCAACTTCATCTGTTCAGGAAGGTTTTGTGAACGAATCAAAAGCTCCAGAACAGCTACTAAATGGACCTTCTGTTGAAACTGTTCTATCAAGAGCTTGTGGTTGTACAGTTATTACACACGTTAAATCGCTATTATGAAATGATATCTGAAAGTAATGGGCTCAGCAGCAGATCAAAGCTATAGTGGAGATATTTTCATGAAATCTTAAGGTGCAGCTAAAATAATGAATTCATGCCTCCTCCTCCTCCTCCTCCTCCCACACGTGTTTCTCTGTAGGCTGAAGGTTTCCATGGCGAGTTGGAGGAGTTCCTCCAGTGGCTGAGGAGGACGGAGAGCCAGCTGTCTGCCGCCAAACCAACAGGCGGTCTCCCTGAAACAGCCAGGGAGCAGCTACAGCAGCACATGGTAACAGAGAATCACATAACACCTCTATGCCCACTATGTCATGAACAATACACACGTTAGACGCAAGAAGAGAAACTCATTGTAACACTTGACACATTAATGTAATTTCCATGTTGGGGAAAAAATTGATTCTCCATCGCTAAGAAATGTTTCTGCATAAAGTAGTTTTTTATTGTTGTTTATTGTTGTTAGAAGCACATGTGAAATGATTCCACATCATAAGGTTCCCACTGTATGAATACAACAACAGGTCGTTTTCAGTGTCATAAACAGATTTTAAGAGCACATAAAACCTTTTACCAGCAGAGTTTTGAGCAGATGCTCGGAGTATTAGCCTACACGTGCTCATCTGTTTATACAGAGAGGCATTTGGCAGAGGGTGACTATGAAAGTTACCAGTGAAACTCACCTTTTAGCCTGAGAGTCAGTTCGTGTTTGTGTCTTCTCCGTGTCCAGGAGCTTCAGGCTCAGCTGACTCAGAGAGCAGACCAGTACCATCGCCTGCTGGATCAAGGAGAGTCCATGCTGCTGGCTCGAGGAGGAGAGGAAGCAGGACCCGGTACCACCCAGACCCAGCAGAACCTGGCCATGCTGCAGAACAAGTGGGGCAGCCTCAACACCAAGATGGACGACCGCAGGGTAAGACTGTAACTCGTGGACTTTATCTTTTTCTCTTTTTTTTTTTTTTAGCTCTATCCTTCTCTGTTCTTTTCTTTATGTTCTATTTATCACATTTCTCAGTCAATATAGATTTGAATTCTATTCTATATTTATGATCTTATTATCATCGTTGTTAACTTTGAACTCTCTCTATGAACTTTGTCTGACAGGGAAAGCTGGAGGAGGCTGTTTCCTTGGCAACAGGTTTCCAGACTTCTCTGCAGGACACCATCAACTGGCTGACCCAGGCTGAACAGACCCTGAACATGGCCCAGCCCCCCAGCCTCATCCTGGACACGGTCCTCTTCCAGATTGATGAGCACAAGGTAGAAACTGAATATACTCTAGTCATGAGAAACAGTGTTTCAAGATCATCATTTCTCCCTTCTTGTTGATGTAAACACATCTTACCCTGAATAAGATTTTACTGTTCCCAACACATATTCCACTCTCGTCTCTCTGTCCGTCCAGGTATTCGTGAATGAAGTGAACACCCACAGGGAGCAGGTCCTGGCTCTGGAGAAGGCCGGCTCTCAGCTTCGTTTTGCCAGCCTGAAGCAGGACGTGGTTCTCATCAAAAACCTGCTGCTCAGCGTCCAGGCTCGCTGGGACAAGCTGGTCCAGAGGTCACTGGACCGCGGCCGACACCTCGATGAGGCCCGCAAACGAGCCAAACAGGTACAGAACAGATAGACACACTCACAGCTGATGGGCTTGTGTAGTTTATTTATTTCATATTTGAAACATGACTTAAAACCTTTATCACATGATAGTAATTATATCAATTTACAGAATGTCTGAAATTGCACTTGACTTTTGATAATAGAATTTGCCAAACGACTTCATGTATTAGTAAAGAGCTGAAATTATATTGACCTCTCTCAGCTAGGGAGTATTTATGTATTAAAATATCAAACTTAAACTCTGTCCCACTCCTGCTTTAGTTCCACGAGGCCTGGAGGAAGCTCACAGACTGGCTGGAAGAAGCCGAGAAAAGACTGGACTCGGAGCTGGAGATCTCCAACGAGCCAGACAAGATCAAAGTACAACTGGCCAAACACAAGGTACCATAGGCAGTTATTAGCATATTTATCCTGTGCACATATGCAGATATTTCCATGAGTTCAGTATTTCAAATTTTTTCCTTTGATGTTCCCATTTACAAATCTGTTTCCTTATCTCCCTTTTTCTGCACATCCAGGAGTTTCAGAAAGCGCTGGGCTCAAAGCAGCCTGTGTACGACACCACAGTGAGGTCCGGCAAGGCAATGAGGGACAAGGCTCAGCTGCCCGCAGACACCCAGAAACTGGATCACCTGGTGGGAGAAGTCCGTGACAAGTGGGACACCGTCTGTGGCAAGAGCGTGGAGAGGTAAAGAGGAAGAAGGATATGGACTGAAACGGGTTCATCCAGATATCCGTCACAGCTCTGAATCATCATATGAAAAATAAAACATGATCATTAAGAGATATTGTCTTCTCTCCTCCATCCAGACAACACAAGCTGGAGGAGGCCCTGCTGTTCTCAGGACAGTTTGCAGAGGCTCTTCAGGCCCTTGTTGACTGGTTGTACCGGGTAGAACCTCAGCTAGCTGAAGATCAGCCAGTCCATGGAGACCTGGATCTGGTGTCCAACCTCATGGACTCACATAAGGTGTGTACACTAAACAAAGCCGTGCTTGTCAGATTTGCATGAGAGGATAATAATGACCTTGTTAAACAGCCTTTGAATGACAGATCTGTGTTCTGCCTTCATCACTGTCTTATGTCTAAACCCCCAGGCTTTCCAAAAAGAGCTGGGGAAGAGAACCAGCAGTGTTCAGGCTCTGAAGCGTTCGGCTCGGGAGCTGATGGAGACCGGTCGCGATGACACGGCGTGGGTCAAAGTTCAGCTTCAGGAGCTAAGCAACCGCTGGGATACAGTGTGTGCCCTGTCGGTCACCAAACAGACCCGCCTCCAGCAGGCTCTCAAACAGGTGAGAGAATCTGCTCAAGTTTAAACTTTCTTCATCAGATGAAGCACACAGCGTTGTCAAAAACGTCATCTTTCTCACGTTCCCCCTCTCTCCGTCAGGCGGAGGAGTTTCGTACAGCTGTGCAGGTGCTTCTGGAGTGGCTCTCAGAGGCAGAGCAGACGCTTCGTTTCCGTGGCGTCCTCCCCGAAGAGGCGGAGACTCTGCAGCCGTTGCTGCACACACATCGTGACTTCATGGGCACGGTGGAGGAGAAGAGGGCGGATGTCAACAAGGCTGCTGGCATGGGAGAGGGCATCCTGACCCTGTGTCACCCTGACTCCATCACCACCATCAAACACTGGATCACCATCATCAGGGCGCGTTTTGAGGAGGTGAGGGGTGGAGGGTTGCTGTTGTTTTTGTTTGTCTCAAGTGACAAGTAACATGATGGAAACACGATAGAAATCTTTTGTTAATCAAACTTTGACTCTGCAGGTTCTGACGTGGGCGAAACAGCACGAGCAGCGGCTGGAGACAGCTCTGACTGAGGTGCTCAACAACGCCAACCTGCTGGAGGAGCTGTTGTCATGGCTACAGTGGGCTGAGACCACTTTGGTCCAGAGGGACACAGAACCGCTTCCTCAAGACATCCCACAGCTCAAATCACTCATCACAGAACACCAGGTGGGTTTCCCATCAACCCACTCACTCATCAGCACATAGAATGAAGCCCCATAAACCTGTACACTGTGTTTGTACTCCTCATTAACAGTTGTGTTTATCTCTGACCGTGTTTGTTCCAGATGTTTATGGAGGAGATGACGAGGAAGCAGCCAGACGTGGACAAAGTGACCAAGACCTACAAAAGGAAACCAGCTGAGCCTCCCAGCAGCCTGGCAGAGAGGAGAGGAGCTCGTACGTCAACCTGTGTTTACCGCCTGATGCACAAATATTATGATCTTCTTCTTTCTGACAATAACATAAGAGCCTGTGGTGGAAATGCACACATTACTCACAGCATTACATTAAATCTCTGCAACCTCCTCAGGCAAGCAGCAGCAGCAGCAGCAACAGCAGCAGCAGGCAGCGATGCAGGTCCCCGGAGGAAACCCTCGACTCAACCAGCTCTGTGCACGGTGGCAGCAGGTTTGGCTGCTGGCTCTCGACCGCCAGCGCAAACTCAACGATGCTCTGGACAGGCTGGAGGAGGTATCTCACATCTGTACATTTAGATGGAGTAAAATTGATGTGAAATTCTGGGTGAACGCCTGTATTTAAGTTACATTCCTGGCCAATCAGAGCTGCATTTTTCTTTCTGAATTTCTTAATATAACTGGCAATAACTCAGTATTACTTTCATATTAACACTTTCAGCTCATTGTATATATTCTATTCAGTTTTTATGACTCTGATACGAAGTGTAACACACATTACCCACTTTCAGCTCAAAGAGTTTGCCAACTTTGACTTTGACGTGTGGAGGAAGAAGTACATGCGCTGGATGAACCACAAGAAGTCTCGTGTCATGGATTTCTTCAGACGCATCGACAAGGACCAGGATGGAAAGATCACACGCCAGGAGTTTATCGACGGCATCCTGGCCTCAAGTAAGTGATGAGAGATCATTTAGTTGGTTTGCTGTTTTTAGTGGCTGAGTTGTTACAAACGATATACTGTAGATTGAATATGGATTCTTGTCCTTCTGTGCAGAGTTTCCCACCAGTAAGCTGGAGATGACAGCGGTGGCAGACATCTTTGACAGAGATGGAGACGGTTACATCGACTACTACGAGTTTGTTGCTGCTCTTCACCCCAACAAAGACGCTTACAGACCGACCACTGATGCTGACAAGATCGAGGATGAGGTAAGAAAAATCTAAAGACAAATGCATAAGTACGCATTTCCAAAGATGGTATGATGATACGTATGGTGCAGTACTGGGGCCATGTATTTATACTGGACGGGCCCAGTCATGAGTCATTGTTTGTAAATGCAGGGAGACATTCACTGACATGTTGTGTGGCGTTGTGCAGGTGACTCGGCAGGTGGCCCAGTGTAAATGTGCCAAGAGGTTCCAGGTGGAGCAGATCGGAGAGAACAAATACCGGGTGAGCTCAGTTCACTTTCTGGTTCATTTTAACACTGACATCATTTATAGAATAGGTTACAAATAAACTGTTATTTTATCTGTAACAAAAGAATGTTAATGTTCATAGTAATTAATTGATTTTTAATTGTTAACAGAGCTGGGTCAAAGCAGTTAGTAGCTGTTGGTTTTTTTCTTCTCTGAGCTTTTAGTATTAGACAAGTCAGCATCATCAGACATGTCTCAATTCTACAGTGAAATTCACATCAAGTCTTATGATCAGATGTTTTCACTTGATTTCACATTTTGCTGCCAACTTTTCTTACTCTGGCAAACAAACTAGGAGTTTGTGCAAAAGTAAAGAAAGTGTGAACTTGCTCTGATCGATAAAAGTTACTTTGCAAACACTTTGACTCAGTTCTTATTAAAAAACAATTTATTTTAACCGGCTGTCTTCACTTTTCCATCAGGCAACAATTAACAACTCATATTTCTCAACATAACTTCACGGCATTTTAATGTGTCCATCTCACATCATGGTGTCATGGTGTATTTATAAGTGTTTAAACTGTCTGTATCATAACATTGAAATAACATGTTAATAACGTCTCACAGCACTCCAGGATTATCAGCTGAGCCTTCTCTGTCATCACCAAAGCATTAACATAACCGTGTAAATGAGACAGCATAGATACACACTGGGCTGCTGGGAAACAAAGAGGCGGAGCTCTACCTGATTTAATCGCTGTGTTGTGAGGTGGTGTTCAAACCAAGCAGGATTTTCGAGTTGTCAAATAATCCAACTACCTGTGCATCTTTTGAAAGTTTTCCAAGCTCCAGCTCACTGGTAGTTGGTCACTGTGAACCTAAAGCAGTCAAATACAGAAATAGAACAATGATCAAAGAAAAGTGCAGGTTATAAATGTACCTCAGTCTATTTTAATGCCAGGTTATGTATTACAAGTGACTGAATTTGATAATGTAATAATAATGCAAAACACAGTAAGAACAGACATATAATCGAGTCTACAGAACAAAAATACAAACTAGAGCTTGACATTCTGTTAACCCCCAAAAGAAAAACCTAGAAGAGCCACAGTGTTTGTAATAGTTGCCCCAGCAGTCTGTGTGTATCTGTGCATCATTTTACAGTGGCCATAAACTCTTAACAGTTTTGAGCAGCTTCTTCTGGATCGGCCATCACTACCACTGCTGCAGTGTGTGATCACCCCATCATTATCCACTGGGTAATGATTTCCAGCATCTCACTGCAGGACACTGGGGATGCTGATTGTACACCAGTTAGTCTGTCTTTTGTGTGCGTGCGTGCATGCGTGCGTGCGTGCGTGCGTGCGTGCGTGCGTGCGTGTGTATGTATGTGTTTGTGTGTGTTCTCACGTTTGTTTGTCTGGCTTCACTTTCCTTCACTCTCTCTGTCTTCACTCCATCTCGCCGTCATCAGCTGGCAGTATTAAAGAACATCTTCACAGCCACACTCTCATCTCCGCTGCATCTGTTCGCTTCCACCACTAATTCTGGGCTCAAATAACAGAAATACACAAACTTTACAGTTTATGAGAACCAGCTTTTAGAACAAATAAATGGCCTTTCATACATGAGACTTCAGTTGACAGTACATGTTGTTTCACTCTTGCTCTGTTTCTTTCTCCTTGTGTTCCTCTGCTCCGTGTCTACTGGATTTATTGTAGTTCTTCCTCGGAAACCAGGTAAAGTGACTCTCGCTGCTGTGATTGGATGAGTGAAATCTGCTTCACGGTCCTCCACCAATGGAGTGCTGTCCTTTCTGCTGTCACATGTTCAGTAATTCTATATTAAACACTGTTTAAAAAAGAGAAGAAGAAGCACTCCATTGTGGCTTTGCAGCGTGTAAGCAGGTTTCACCGTCCGACCCGTGTGACTGCTGTGATTTGTTTGGTGTTGAGAGCGACAAATTGCACAATGTGAAGCAGGCGACAGTGACATGGCTGAAGTGGTAATTAGTGGTGAGGTGATGTATAGTCTGCTTTGGACTGAAGCTTGGGAGCAAATCAAGCTGCTTGGAGACAGACTGAGAAAATTCCTTCTGTGCTGGTATCGCTTTGCTGGGCGGTTTGAACATTTCAAGTGTTGTTTTTTAAGTTGAAAGACTAAATGTAGAAGAAGCCGTGGTTTCTCCTGTAAATGATGCTTAGATTTGGGCGGCTGGGTGATTGATTGACCTCTGAAGTTCTGTCAGTGCATGTTGTTTCTGTCATTGCATGAAGTAGAAGAGATCATCTGTTCGGATTTGGTTCGTTGATGCTTGGTGTGATGCTGCAAATCATCTAAAAGTCATCTATGAATATATCGACTATTATTTTACTCACTGATTTTCTCCTCATCTTACTCTCTTCTCTCTGCTTCATCAATTCCCCCTCTCACCCTTTGTCTTACTGTTTCTCTCGTCGTTCTCTCCTCTGTTCATTTTTCTGTTATCCTCTGTTCTCCTCCTCTTCCTTGCTCCCTCTCTTTTCTCTTTATTTTTTTATCTCCTCAGTTCGGTGACTCTCAGCAGCTGCGTCTGGTGAGGATTCTGCGCAGCACGGTGATGGTGAGAGTCGGAGGCGGTTGGATGGCTCTGGATGAGTTTCTGGTCAAAAACGACCCATGCAGAGGTGAGTGATGTTCACACACATACATTCACCTCAAACGTTCCCGCTCTCACACACACACACACACACAAACACTCACAGAAGCTCAGATTCCTCAAAGACACACACCTAAACATATCGTGGTTCCTCCTCTGTCTCACTTTCTTTACTTCACATGTATTCACATCCAACCGATACCAATGTTCATTTTTTAACAAAAACAAAAACTTTTGAAAATGAGCTCTTCAATTTTGTTAATCTTTGAATTATGACTAACATATGTTGGGAGCACCACTCATTAATTATAATTATGTATGTATCATACATATATTATCATTTTACAGTTGAGAAATAAACTTATAACTTTGACTTCAGATGTAATAAAAAATTTTGAACATTAAACTTCAGGGGAATTTAGATTAGTGTTAATAGCAACTATAAATCACAATACAAATATAACAATATATATTTAACATAAGAAAAATAGGATTAAAATGTATAAAGATTTTAAGTTTTAAATGTAAGAATTTATACTTACATTTTTATGAGGTATCTTCTTTGATACAGAACAGCAAAATGATTGCAACAATAAAACAGATATTGTCAGCATATTAACATGTTTGTATCCATGTTACAAATGTTATATGGGTCATAGTGGACTTGGATAATCAGTCTTTTTATGTAGAAGCAAGAACAAAAAACAGCGACAGGGAGGCAGATGGGATTTTAGACTGCAACTGTGCAGATGCAAACCCTCAGCCACACGTCCTATCCTGGTCCTGGTTCCATTCACACTGAAATGATTCTAAAGCAAAAAAAAGTATCACTATTTATATTATTATAATATTATTTATACCTCTATTCATATTTTCAGTGTTTTATAATATCGGTCTGGCTCTAGTACTCACACAAACGTACCATCACACTTCTCTTTACAAAAGCAAACTCCTGCACTGAGCTCCTGACATCACCGAGCATCAGTTAGTGACAGCACACAGATCAGGAGCACAGTACACAAAAACACTCCGGCAGAACCAAGTCAAGTTTGTCAAGTTGTCTGTCAGCAGGTGACGCAGGAACCTGCCGCACCGCCTCACGTTTCTCTCCAGTGTTTCTTTCCAGTGACGTCTACAGTCGGTGTTTTTGTCGGGCTCCTCAGAGCGGTATTTCTTTCCATCTCTCTGACCCAAATCTCCCAAATCCCAAAATCCGTTCCCTCCGAGTCCATCCTCTGTCGACCCTGAAGGAGCTCGTCATCTTATCTTGTCACATTTTTATTTCTGTATAAACACGACCGGCTCTCTCCTCAGTCTCTGTTCTGTCTTTTCTTTTTATTTATTTTTCATTCTTTCTTAAATATAACAGTAGTATTGCATGGTGCATGATCCTCAGTTCTCTCCTTCTTCCTTCCCCTCTCTTTTCTCCCTCCCTCCCTTTTTCTCTTTCCTCAGTGCAACATCCAGGACTTAAGATTCTCCGCTCCGATTCCAGTAGCTCCATCTCATCTCGTATAGGTTGGATTTCTCCTCTATCTCTTACGCTTTCACTCTCTCCTAACTGCTCGTCTTCTCTCCGTCACATTTGTTTTGGTCAGTTTTTTGTTTTTTTTTGTTGTTCCTGGACTCTCTTTCAGATCTCCTCTCATTTCTCTTCCTATTCTCTTTCCTTTTTTCTCTCATTTTCTCTTCCATTTATCTCCATCTTTCCTCCAACTATTCTTCCTCTTTGTTTTGGTCTGTGGGTTTGGCCTTGTTGCTGTGCCTTGCTGACTGATCACCTGACTAACGTTATGTCTCCCCACTGTTCTGCTCCTCCTCTCTCCTGACCTCTCCCCCTGGCTGTCGCGCTCACGCAAGCTCTGAAATCCTGAACTGTTCACGTTTTTCTAAACATGTTTCAAGGGTCACTGACTCGTCCGGACCCCCACTGGTCAGCTCTGTGTGTGTGTGTGTTAACAGTCTCTGTGTGCTTGTGTGTGAGTGTGTTGATGGTTGTGACATTGAAGAAGGAATTTTTGACAGATTCTTTAAGCAGTCTTGGCTCCAGTAACAGAGCCTGTGTATGTGCATGGGTGTGTTTTGGGCGAGTCCATGAAGTGGAATCTTTGTGTGTGTGTGTGTGTGTGTGTGTGTGTGTGTGTGTGTGTGTGTGTGTGTGTGTTACTGTGTGTGAGACTTTTCTTCATTCCACCATGAGCATGCAGTTATTTCACATTGTCTCTTGTGTCTCTTAGTGACAGTCACTCCTGGCTATTTCTGCTGCCGAGGTATCTACACTTCCTTTCTGTCTCTCACTCCATTCCTCCATCTCTTTCACTCTTCATCCATCCATCCGTCCAGCTGTCAGTCTCCATCTTTAACCACAGCTGTCCTCTGTGTGTCTATATATGTGTGTGTACAGTTTATAACTGTGGTCAGGTTTGGGTGTATAGGCGTTGATGTCAGTCTTGTCTGTGTGCCACATGTCTGCGTCATGCTTTCCTCACTCACAACAAAGCAGGATTTGGTCAACCCCTGGTCTTTCTATTTAATTTCAGTCTATTTTTTAAGTACTTTTTTAAAAATTAGTACATTTTACAAGTGAGCTTATAAACTGAACACGGATGAGAAGCTCAGCAGAAACCAAAAGGAAAACAGAATGTGTAAAACTTCTGTATCATCTTACCTTATGACATCAGATCTTGTTTATTATTTCATTATTTTCTAGTTTGACCCCTCTCAGAAAAAAGGAAACACATGCCTCATCAAATCTGTGAAACCAAAGAGTAAAGAGTCAGTGAGTGTGTAAGACCTGGGCGTGGCCAGCCTGGGTTTCTAATAACGCTGGCTTCCAACGCGGCTCCTTTAAATGTGATGGCTGGTTGGTGGGAGACACAATTACAGGGTGCACCTGGCTGGCTGGCGTTGAGGGGGGACGTAATTGCAGGGTGCACCCGTTTAATTGACTTGCCTTGCTGTTCGGTTGCTAGGGACGATGGCCATGAGGCTAGGAGTTGCACTGCTGCTACAGCTAGCTGCAGCCTTCTTCTCTTCTTTTTTTACACTCCATCTTTCACTTGTTCATCTTGTTTCTCTTCCATGTTTCCTCTGTCTCTCTTCTGTCTCTCTTCTCTCGTTCTTCTGTGAATTTTTTGTTCTTTTTTTTTTGTTATCTCTTCTGTCCTCTCTCTCTCTTTGTGGCTGGCTTCTCCAGGCTTGTTGTTGTCTGCTGGGGCTGCTGCACTACTTTCTATCCGAGAATGCTGCTGAGTGTCTTTTGAAGAAGGGAGAAACCCTGAGTCTCTGGGCTCTCTCCTGATAAGCATAAACCAGGCATGAGCCCCACATGTATTTATGCACATACTGTGTATACACTGCAGAGCTGAGATGCTCCTTCGCAGCCAGAAGAGAAAATGAACTGAAATGGGAGCGCTTGTTGAAAAACGAGAGAAGAGAGGCTGTGCTTTTGCTCCCTCCGCCCTCAGATGGTTTTAAAGTAAATACGCAATGAAAGTTTGTGTCACATAGCGACATCTTTCACAAGACTGGAGACACCTGCCATCGCTGACATTTTGTGAAAAACACTTATTTGCTGTCTTGCTGAGAATTAGATGACAAGACTGATGCCTCGCTCACGTCTGAACAGTAAATATGAAGTTACAGTCAGCAGCTGATTAGCTTAGCTTAGCATGAAGAGATGAAACAGCTAGCCTGGTGCTGCCCACAGGGGGAAAAATCTTCTTACCTGCACCTCAAACGCTCACTGATTAACACGTTTTATCTCCTTTGTTGAATTCAAACAAAAACCGAGGTCAAAAAGCTGTGTCAGCTTTATGCTAAGCTAAGCTAAATATCTCTGCCTGTCTGTTCTAACATACAGACATGAGAATCTGACTCTCCGTGGGAAAGCAAATAAGTATATTTCCCAAAATGTTGAACAATTCCTTTAAAGATAAAATCAGCACTTTTGACTCTGTTGAGAAAATAATCTCTCCAGTGCAGAAAATATTTTCTCTGGACTTGAACAGGGAAATATTGACGGTTTGGTAGATGGATTTATCTGCAGCGATGACGTGTGTCTCCACGTGTCCTCACTGACTTTGGTTGCGTATCAAATAAATTAATGTATTTCTACTTTTGCACTCAAACCAAACACTCGCTCACCCCTCCCTTTTAAAACAACTCAACCAAAGTGCACTTACAACCCCCCAACCCCAAAACTCCCAAAATCCCCAACCCCACCCCCTCCAAACTTCCGCTCTGCTCACGTGCACTCTCAAATGAAACATGCACGGACTCTGATGTCTGCAGCCAAGGAAGCACTGACTCTCTCCCTCACGCTGCTCGCTGCCTCTGCCGCCCCCTGCTGGAGGAAAACTGTGAGCCCACACATGCAAAGCAGCTCATTTGTCTCCTCCGTTTCCCTGTTTCTGTCTTCAGCTCGTGGTCGCACCAACCTGGAGCTGAGGGAGAAGTTCATCCTTCCTGAAGGAGCGTCTCAGGGTCTCGCCGCGTTCCGCTCCCGGGGCCGACGCTCCAAACCGGGCTCCAGAAACGCCTCCCCCACCCGTTCCTCCTCCTCGGCCTCCCACAGCGGCGCCTCCCTGCCCTCTGCACCTTCCGCCCCTGCTACACCCACAGCCTCCGCATCATCCAGGGTAAGAGCTGACATCAGCATTTCAGATTTCTGCTGAGTTCAGAGTAGAGGCAGGATCTAATTTCATCAGATGTCTTAATTCAAGTTCTATTTTTTTCATCATGCAGTGACAAGGTTCTATGCACCTCATGTCTACTCCTTTCAGATATAGTAATACTTTATGAATCATAGCACTTTTCTAAAACACAACCAGACTTCACTATGTACTGTACTAAAACTAAGGCAATTTAGTGTGAAGTTGATCCTAAATTTTATACCACAAATAATTTAAAAGACATTTAAAAGTCTTAGTTTTGTATTTCTACAACTTGCAGGTACCTTTTGTTCACACTGAGAAGAAACACATGACAACACAGTTAAAGACAAATCCAACATAACCATAAAAAACACTAGTAAACATTAAAAATCACTTGTTTTTCAGTCATCATTTTGTGTAATTACAGTGAAACCCGTTAGAATAATTACAGACATATGAAACTTGCAGTGTGGTTTGTTCTGTCCTAAATCATGGGAATAAAACTCTGTAGGCGAAAGTTCTCATCTGTGTTTCCCCTCAGTAGGAAAATAAAAAACAGTGAGAAGCTATAAAAAATACTGTAGTATAAGAACACACACATACCTGATCCTCCATCTTTTCACACACACTTATCACCCTCATCCTCTGTTCTGTGTTGGAGGTAGTAATGTTGAATAGAAACATCGTCATTGTCGAAACAAAAACACTCAGAGTCCATCAGACCGCATGTTGTCATTAGTGTTGATGTCGTCATCTGATGTTGGTGATGTTGTCATTTGTCAGCACTGTCACCTGATTATGCATCTGTGTGTGTGTGTGTGTGTGGGGGTGTGCTGTCATACATCATTACCTGTGCTGGCAGGTGTGATGCAGAAGGGAGCCTTACATTGAAGCATCAGTGTCGTTCAGGACTGGACAGCAGTGCACAGTGCTAAAAAAAA